GAGCGTGCAGGCCGCCTCAGGTGATATCCTTAAAGGGGGGGGGGGTGACAGCACTGCTCCCCAAACACCTGCCATTTGGCAGAAACAAGGTGTGAAGTTCACCTGTGTCCCTTTAAAATGCTGAGGAGATTATGCGCGTGGGGCGAAACTCAGTGAGAAGAGAAAGGAGAGGCCCCAATTTAAAAAAATTAATAAATTAAAAAAATATTTCTTTAAAAAAAACCTTAAAAACATAAAATCTTACCAAGTTTTCACTTTAACCACATAAATATACATATAAATACATTTAAGTTGTGCATATGATATTGCAATTTAAAGGCATAATTTTAATTTTGCTAGTTGTTCTATGTCACAACTATTACTATTACATTCAGTGATATATGGCGTTCATAATTTATGAGTAATGTTAGTACCAAAAATTTTTTTTTACCAAGGATTCTATAAGGTGTGCTATGGGAGGAGGTCAATGGGGGGGATGATTTACCACCAACCCTAGTGATGCCACTGATTTCAATTGTATTTGTCAAACTTAAGGGAAGACTTGAAGTTTTACTTCTGAATTTCAAATTAAAGCAAAAGGAAGTAACTATGATCTGAAAAGACCACACACTACACACTACAAATGTATGAACATGAACTCAGGAACCGACTTAGATTTATATGCAATAGGGCATTTTACAGACTCTTACTTTTAGAATATTTTGTGTTTCATTCCACTTGTTGGTCCACTCTTTGGTAAGCTCTTGAACCTATAAAATAAACCAAAGTATTATTCCAAAATAAAACCTTGAGTTCAAAATAATCAAATATGTTTCTGTTCTATTCTGAGGAATTCAGTGTCATCTACTAGAGGTGAAATTATATTTTATTTGCACATGAACCTTAATTCTTTTGCATTAATTGATTTCCTATTGGAACTGCCACCTCCTCTGATTCCACTTCTGTACTAAATTTTTAGAGAACAGTATTAAAGAAACCAAGAATTCAATCAATTCTTGAAACCAAGAAGGGGAAAAATCTTCCTTTTTCAGGTAGACACTGGGATTTAGTCAGAATAACCAATTAATAATTGTGGCAAACTGAAGACTTATCATACATTTTCTGTAATTGTTTACCATAATTTTTGTGAATGAATACTAACAACATGCTAATACTGTCAACTAAAAATAGTAATAAATAATAAATTAACAATAAATCCTAATATACTTCTTTCACAGAAGCATATTTCTGAACATGGCAATGAATGATTAGCGACACCTCATAAAATACATATGCCAACTGCCACCTATTTTGAAGTTTTTATATTAAACAATGATCACAAGAGCTATTAGACAATATAATCTCATGTAAACTAAAAATGAATACAAAATAATATTCGAGGTCTTGTTAAAAAAAACAAGTTAATAAGCTTGCACTCTTTGAAATAATAGTATACACTGCTCTACCTTTGGATGCTTTTTAAGAAATGTTAAAGTCTTGAAGGGTAAATGGGAATTGGTAGATATGAAAAGCTGATTCAAATCTATAGACCAAGTTACTCAACTAACATCTTTTTACTGAGATCTCTTGGCTATATGTATGACCTTTCACATATTATGGAGAGGCAAATGTGGACTTGCTGCTGAATACACTTAACAGAGAACTGTAGCAAATCATAGCTTTATAAAAAGTATTTGTGTATACCTATGTTTCAGACACATTTGTCAGAGTAAACATTTATTTTACTCCTAGAAAAAGTGTGTGTGTGTGTTTGTGTGTAGCCTCAACATCAAATGTGAAGGTCATGCAGAAGAAATCAGGAATGTTTATTCATTCTAAGTTTAAATGTCCTGGAGCTGAAACTATGGAGACATTGAGATGTCATTTTTTTTAGCTCAACTGTGTGAATAATCTCACTCGTGTGTTTCAGGTTGTTATTGGCTCTATGGAACCACATCTATGAGCATCTCTGCGAGTTCGGGTGCTCAAGACATGTCAGCATTCAAATAAAGATGGAGTCGACAATGTGAATGTTCAAGGCATGCAGAGTTGTATACCGGTTTATCTCAGGTCTATTTAAATTGGTTATTCACATAGCCAACTATGGGCCTTTACAGACTGCCAGAAATAATCCAGTTTGAGACCACTTTAACTGCCCTGACTCAGTGCTAGGGAATCATGAGAACTGTAGTTTATTGTGGCACCAGAACTCTCTCTGACAGAGAAGGCTCAATTTATCAGGAAAAAACTACAATTCCTATGATTCCCTAGCATTGAGCCAGGGCAGTTAAAGTGCTCTCAAACTGGATTATTTCTGGCAGTCTGTAAAGGCCCTATGTGAATCTTTTAGAAAAACTCAAGAAACTCTTAAGTATTCCAAATTCAGTGGATTTTTTGGGAGCCACCCCCCAAAACCTAGATGTATTCAAAATGCATCTGAACAAAGATTCAACCCAGATTATTTTCACCATCTGAATAATCTCTATGATGCATGAATCATCTATGATTTGGCATACTAAGGGACAAATCTTACTCTTTTGCACATGCATGCACGTGCATATATATATATATATAGAGAGAGAGAGAGAGAGAGAGAGAGAGCGCAAAAACAGCAATTAGTAATATACCTTTTGTTGACTGCAAACATTGGATTCCACTGTTTTTATTCTATTTCTTATTTACAAACTTTATGGGCAATAGCTTTTACTAAAGAGATCAGATGTCTTAAAATAAGTAAGATATAAGTAATATCAGAAAATTTACCAAGATTTCCTTTAAAATAGACTGTTAAAAATATAGTAGACAAACACTGTAATCCTATGCATTTTAATCTGGGATTAAATTCCACCAATCCATTGGGATTTAGCTGAGAGCTGACATTCATAGGGTTATTCTGAAAGTGATGAGGTTTAAATCATTTCACAAACTAAAACTTACTCTTGCTTCATTTTGTTGAAGTTTTTCTTCCATACTTAATGCTGTTGGAGAATCCAGAAGTGCAATCTAGGCAGATAAAACACACATAATTACTCAGTAAAATATGAGATATCTTGTAGTGCATTTTATACCACTCTACAGATACATGCAGAAAGAGAGAGAGAGAGAGAGAGATTTCAATGGAGTCTTAAAAGAATGATGGACAGTTTGGTTTTACGTGGATAAACAATGTCATTGGTTGTAACTGCATATCATAGAAAATAAGTGCTTTGTTTCCTTCACACTTCAGGAAATGAGAATTACATGCAGATAATGTTTTCAAGAGAACACACACATACCTCTTAGATTCATACAAATTCAATAGTATCTTCTTATGCACCCCATTTCCTATTCACACTACAGAGTAGGCAGGGCAGATATCTCAAATGTTCATTTTCTCTTGTGTAATTTATTTCACTGCCTATTCTTCGTCATCACTGTGTCCAAATGTCTCCTCTCCAGCCCAGCAACATTTTCTTCTTCATAGTTCTCATGATCTATATGTCCTCCCATACATTCCAGTAATATTTACACATCCTTCAATCGCTGTGTTTTACCAACCTATGTAACTCCTTGTTTTTTGACCTCCCTCATTTATATTAATCTCCCACCGTCCCTTCTCCTCTACTAAGGTTTAAAAATGTACATGTCAAACTGAGGAACCTGGACCTGCTTAAAGGGTCTCTTCTCTATTGAAATGTTTCATATGTTCAAGAGCTCAGCCATTCCATTGAAGAAGGCATATTTTAACACCCAAACAAACTTGGTTATTGTTAAGGCTACATGGAGCCTTTCCTAGGTACTGAATCCCACCCATCCCCATGGGATGTTAGATTAGCTCCATCCTCTCTGACAGGTAGGCAGCAAAAACACTTCCATTTCAGGTTTACATTGATTTTTAATTTGATGGTCTCAACTCTGCTTCATGTTAATGCTTCTTTTAATTCTGTAATTGTTTATTTGTGTGGCATTTCATTTTGTAATTTCAGTTTGGGATTCCTCTTTAGAGCTGAAATGCAATACAGAAATATCTGTATAAACAGAATTGAAGACTGAGATTTTAAAGGTAAAAGTTAAAGGTTTCCCCTTGACATGAATGTCTAGTCATAACCAACTGTAAGGGTGGTTCTCATTTCCATTACTAAGACAAAGAGCCAGTGTTGTCCAAAGATGACTCCAGTGGTCATGTGGCCAGCATGGCTGTATGGAACGCTGTTACCTTCCCACCGAAGTGGTACAAATTCATCTACTTGCACTTTTACATGCTTTTGAACTGTTAAGTTGACAGAAGCTGGGACTCGTGACCGGAGCTCACCCCATCATGTAGCACTTGAGCCCTGAACTGCCAATCTTCCAACCTTACAATCATCAGAATTGGTGTCTTAACCACTAAGCCAGCACTGTCCCTGAAATTTTATCTTGAACAAAACAAGAGACATAGTAGAACCATGATTACTTTTGTTCTTCCATATTTATAAAGGTAGCCTTCACTACAGTATCTTGGAACAATAACTATTAATATTTTGAGTGCTTCCAAAGACTATTAGATTACATTAACACAAAGCTTAAGTCTTTTAAGCTTCATGGAATCCCTTATGAGCAATGGCCAATTCAGGCATATTAGAAGGACACCAGAATCATTTTTATATAAACTCTATCAAGTTTCTAATAGATGACACAATTGGTTTTTGTGAGTATTTAGGGCTGTGAGGCTGCGTTCTAGAAGAATGTATTCCTGACATTTCACCTGCATCTGTGCAGGCAAAACATCAGGAATACATTCTTCTAGAATACGGCCTCACAGCCCAAAAAATCCACAAAAACCTATGGATGCCTTCAACTTCACACAATGAGACAATTCATGATGAATTTGGTGTAATGTTAGGCTTTGTTATTGTGTACCTTCAAGTCATTTCTGATTTATAGTGACCCTAAAGTGAACCTATCACGGGCTTTTCTTGGCAAGATTTGGTCAAAGGGGTTTGCCTTTGCCTTCCTCTGAGACAGAGAATGCAATCTGCCCAAGGACACTCAGTGAGTTTCCATGGCTGAACAGGGATTTGAACTCTGGTCTCCAGAGTCTTAATCTAATGCTCAAACCACTACATCATGCTGGTTTCCAAATGTTAGGCTGTGTCCCTTAAATTAAATGTGCACTTTAGGCTGGAGATTATATTTAAACAGGCATCATAATGCACACTGGCAGATATTGAGGAATTAAGTCACCCGCTCTTTGGAAGGAAAGGATCCTTGTCATGTTTTTCATTACCAATTTTTCTACATACTATCCTCAGGATTTGAAAAAGCAAAATGATGTGTATCACAGTGTCATCTCAAATGAAAGAGACTGCACTCGGCACATCAAGTTATATACATGTTTAACACCTTCATTTCTCATATTTCCAAAGCACTGGCCAATTTATGTAATGTCAAAATGAAAATAGCCTTTGATTGGGCATAATAAAAATGTATTTTTCTTGACAGACAGGAAAGAACATTTTGAAGGAACTGCTTTTAATGTTATCCCTTTTTGTTCCAGAATGTAATAGCAATCATAATGTTAGAATAAGGCACATTCTTCCCTTATCAGATGAAAGGAATGACTTCCTTTGAAAACTGATTTTTTTAAAACTGAGTAATATTAACAAATATATAAGGTTAAGAACAGCTGAACCTCCTGTACTATCTCTGCAGCAACATGTAAACATTAACAGGAGAAATGTGAATCAATATTAGGACTATCTCTTCCTGAAATGCCACTGAACATGCTTGATCTGTGTGAATGTTTATGTAGAATGGCTGACTGCTACATTACAATGGTGAATATCCCACCCCGCAACCCCAGCAGAAAGAGAAGTTTCTTCCCTTCTCACTGCAGGTCTGTGGTTTCAGAAATTGCTCCAGAGAACTTCCCAGACTTTCAAGATCAGGCTTTCAGAGTGTGAGGGGAGATGAAAGATGGGAGATAGATCACTGATTCTGGAAGAAGCAGCACAATCCAACAGAAATACATCATTGGATCTTTGGCCAGTGGTAAAGCCACTAAATATGACTTTGCCATTAGCTTCTGTAGCAGCAAAAAGACACCACTGAACAATGTGTTCTAGCAAACAAATAAATGATGGCATACTATCCTAGGAATATTGATTTACAGTTCCAATTAAGGCACCAGATGTGGCATAGCAGATAGCACAAAGGAAGCCCCAAAGAAATAACAGATGCTGATAGCTCAACACAGGTGTAATGTGAACAGGAATGGGGATAATTCTGTAATACAATGATTAGGATTAGGAAAAGGCAATCTTTCTCTAGCAGTGGGAAAGGAAAGTCTCCATAACCCTCTAGTAAGAGATATAATAATGTGAAGATGTTTAACTGACATTCAGCACTAAAGGGAAGTTATCAACTGCCCAAAGATGTGAGAGGAATATATCAAAGAAGATTGATCTATACAAATCAGTTTAATTTTTTTAAAAAGCATCCTTCTTAAGAGAGAGAAACTGGTGCTATTATTCAGAGATACTATTCATGTCTCAAGTGCAAACAAACCTGATTCCCCTGAGCAAGCAGAGTTTTCAGTCGGGCTATCTCAGCTCGAAGCTCACGAATTAGCTTGACATTTGGATCCTCATTAATGGTAGGCTTGTTGATTATGTTCTTAGCTCGGTTTGCATAACGAAGGGTGCTTAAGGTTTCTCCATAATTGATATCAGCAGGTGAAATAGCTGAGGAAATTGAATTCAGAATTAAGAGTTATATATACATCTGGTTGTCGTTAGAAATCCTAGAAGCCCCTTTCAGTTTCAGGTGGAGAGAAAGTAAAATGTACTTTCTACTGCAAAGATTAGAATAATGTTTCAAAAAAAATATTCCACACATGGTTTTAGCATTAAGCTTAATATAATACTCCAAAAACAGTATGAACTATTTAAGACTCCAGTGAGAAGACCAAGGGGTTTAGGAGTTCTAAACAGTCTGTAACAAATAGCCAATGTATTAAATACCCCCCAGTTTTAAGAGCCTAGCTCCCTGTCTCTCACCCTTCAATGAAAGAGAGTCCCCACTTTTAAATAATTTTCCAATAGCTGCCACCACCATCAGTCTCTTTCTTTTGGGACACCCCATTGATTAGCTACAAGGCTGAATGTTGACAACCTTGCCCCTTTTTCTACCTCTACCTTTCCCCAGAGACTCTCCCACCTGCCTTCACATTGAGCAGACATGGAAAGGAGGAGCTCTTGTAGGAAAAGCTTTTCTTCAACTTAGATAGCTATATCACATTTGAAAGGTGTCATATATATGGTGCATCTCCTTTCAGATACAGCATAAAAAGTAAGGTGTCTTTTTTGTTTTAGGTGCAGATGTCTACTATCCTAATACTGACCCAGACTATTTCTTTTTCTGTATGGTTTACACCAAGGAAATAAATTCATTCTCAATGTTATTCATGAAAAAGGGGAATTCCTGTTCTCAGTACAGCGGCATTCTGAACTGCAAAGCAAAACCACAGTCTAAGTAATCAATGCAGTTGGCTGTGAGCTGAAGCAAGAGCAGGCTCTGGTGGTCAACCACTTTATTCATCGACTTTGTTTTTCTCATAGCCAGACAGTGCACCAACTTTTCACCCAGACCTGGCTCTCTGTTCCTTGCATTTGAATTCAGATCAGGATCTCAGGGTTATCATCATTCCTCCAAAATCTCATGAGCTGCTCTTCATTCAGCAACACATTTGGAAGAGGCAGGAATTCTGGCTTGCAGTCTTGCAACAACCCTTTGAAGCAGTCTTCCTAAAAATGAACTCATTAGAAACCCAAGACAGTTCAGTAAGTATGAAAGATTTCACTTGCACCCCAGTGAGCTGGCTAAGGACAGGGATACAGCTTGAGTCCATGACCTTGGATATTGTTGGAATGTGTATTCAAGTTTCCCCCAATACTGTGTGTTGACTCCAGTTTCACCACTCTCATTCCCCTCAGCAGACTATTCTTAAGGCTTTGATAGGAAGATAGCAGTATTAAAAATGAGTAAACAGAACCTATGCTTAATAAATAATTTGTAACATCACATATTTAACACAAACTCACTTGCAATCATTATTGTTTTAGAGTTTCCTCCTAGGCTGTCTTTCAAAAGCCATGTCAAAACAGAATCTCTGTAAGGCACAAATACTTGCTTCTTCTTGGTAAGAGAGTTTGAGGCATCCTGAGATAAATCAGCTGTGGAGCAGGAAAAAAGGAGGCAACATTTACACTTGAAAGGGTCAGATAAGAAGTTCAATACAGAATAAATTAAAACAACAGACACATACCTAAGGCAGAAATAACATTTCCCAGAGTAACTAGGGATTTGTTAATATTCCCTCCTTCTTTTAATCTGACACCTGTAGCACCAGTGGCATCTGCTCTTTCACTTCCAGCAAGGTCTACCAAATGTATTTTGCTTACAGTCTCACATGGCATTTCAGCATCAAACTTGGCCTACAGAAATACAAAAAGAAAATATTGCCTTGTGAAGTTCTGGAGCGTTTCTAAAATGTTTTTTTTAAAAAAAAAAAAAACTGATCCCTATTACAAAAGAAATGCAGGTATGTCAGTTATCCATTTGTATTATCACCACCTTTAGCACTGAGCTATGTTTGTATTCTCCCTCTCCAATATCCCGACTTAAACCACAATAGCTGTCATAAGTAGGCTATCAGAGTGTTATTCTATTCCTTCTTACTAGACATGAATTCTTTCTCATAGAAAAAGCAGGAAATGCTTTGTAAATAAAATTGCAGGGAAACAGTAGTGAAAATAAGTGAGAAATAGCCATCCCACCCTTTGGCATCTCATTTTTTTAAGCATGCCCAAGTTCTGAATTATGGCTAAGCCCTAGAACCTGAACATGATAAAGAATGGTGCATCTTTTCAACTACATAGGCAAGAATGGGCAAAGTGTGAGCCTTCAGATGTTGCTGGACTAAAGTTTCCAGCATTCCTCACAATGGATTAAGATGACTTGGGAGGTAGAGTCCAAGAGCTGCACACTGTCCTTCACCAATACAGGGTAACCCTGCTGAGTAACCAGTCCATACATGTCTGAGCAAATTCTGTTCCATATTAACAATAGATGGTTTTTGTTTTTAATAAAATGCAGGTTTCCACCCACATAGAATCATAGATTTAGAATCAAGTCCAACCCATTCCATGAAGGAATGCACAATCAAAGCACCCCGACAAATGGCCATCCAGTTTCTGTTTAAAATCCTCCAAAAATGGAGACTCTACCATACTCTGAGACAGCAGATCTCATTGTCAAACAGTTCTTACTGTCAAGAAACACTTACTAATGTTGAGGTGGAATTGCTTTTCCTATAGCTTGCATTCATTGCTCCATGTCCTAGTGTCCGGAGAAGCAGAAAACAAGCTTGCTGCTCCAACTTCAATATGACACTCTTTCAAATACGTATTTAAACAAGGCTATTATGTCATAACTTGCTATTATCTGGACTAAACATACCCAGTTCCCTAAGCCATCCCTCATAGGGCATGGTTTCTAGACCTTTTACTATTTTGGTCGCCCTCCTCTGGACACACTCCAGCTTGTCAATAACCTTCTTGAATTGTGTAGCTCAGAACTCTGAGATCTGACCAAAGCAGGATAAAGTGGTCTCCATCAATTAAATTCTCTGCTTTCAACAGTTAATCTCAAGGCTGAAACACATATGAGACTGGCTTCAGATTTCCTCCATTTTTTCCCCTTTTTATTTTGAAGTATTCCGAATTTGATCAAAAAACTACATGACCTGGAAGAGATATGAATGCTTCTTGTATCATCGTCCCAATCTAAATACTATCCCCTAAAGCCATTATTATTCCCACAATCAACAGTTGCTGAAGAGGGGGATATTTAGATTGAAGGGAAATGCTACTCCCAAATCAAGCATGGTGTCAACCATGATTTGAGAGTAAAAATGAAAAGCGCTCTAAGATTTAATCATACATCTTCTACATTGGGCTTAGTCAGGTTCTCTGTTACAGCCAAGCTCCACAAACACATTTTCATCTCAGAACTTTCTCCCTGAACTGGTGAACAAAATCATAGAGTTGGAAGAGAACACAAGGCTCACCAAATC